TTCCTTTTTTCAAATTCTTTATTGTAGTTCAATTCGGAACATCGAGACTTTCATGAAACTCATGAAATATCATTATCGATAGATTTTGATGCCTGGYGGTTGTCTCCACTTCTTCACTGATAGTGGCGACTGCGGCATGTGTCTTTTTATAATGTCAAAATCGATTGATCTTGGAGGATTTTAATTTTTAACAAATTCACGAACAACAATTTKAGACCAACTTCTATTATTATTATACTGATTGTCGATTGATAATCAAGGTTAAGTACCTATATTATTACTTATAATAGTTATAACACGAACTAAAATAATTAGGTACTTAATGCCGATTTAATTGGTTAATCAAATTTAATAATATACAAGTTATGAGTTCATTATTTTAATACCAACTTAATATATTTATAATTATTATATGATTCATATAAATTATTCACTACACTTTCTTACGGTGGGTATTATTAGAAATTATGTTTTCATTACGAAAGCTTCGTGATTCGTATGGTTCATTAAAGTACCTAATTAAAATGCTAAAGATGTTATCGTGATTATATTATATTTTGTTTTCGATTTTGTCAATGGGTATTTTATATATTATACAGTAACTATACACGTTATACTGTGGAATAGATTAAATATTAGTATAATATGACTATATGAGATAAGTCGTGGTGCATTGAAATATGTACCTACTTAAAATACTATTTAAGGGAATTTATTTTTCATGATAAATATCATTCACATTTTAARAAATTTGCATAAAAATCAGATTTTTTAAAAATATTATTATAATTTAGTACTTTCTTTAATTTAATTTAAGTGTTTTTATTAGCACAAGTTTTAATTGAAATTAATAATATTTATAGGCATACTTTATATAATTGGTAAGTACCTAGGCTTTAGTATAGAGCAATATAACTGCATTTTAGAACGTGCACGTATTTTAATGTTAGTTGGTAGGTATGTGTACGTTTGGATAAATTGTAATTATAGAAGTTTTAGAGATAGTATCAATTAACATAATTGTAAGCAATATAAACTTTTTGTTTTTCTTATGAATTATTTAACTAAAGATAATGAAGAAAATTAGTGGCAAAATTCAARAAATAAGAATTATGCGTCTTAATTTGATATTCTTCAAAAAAAAAAATAGCGATATCCAGGCCAGAGAATTTTATTATATTTATTTTATTTTTTCATTACCTACCTAAATATTTACATTTATGCTATTAAATTTGAATAGTATGCAAATAATAGGTTACTAGTTGGGTTATATTGAATGGAAATCGAATTAATGAATTAAAGATTTTTGTTTTAAATTACGAGCAATATTATAGGTATAAATTAAAATAAGATTTTATACACTATTTACTCGTTTAGAAAATTTGATTATAATTTTAAAAGCAACTAATTTTCAAGTTAAAAAAAAAAAGCAATTACATTAATTGACATGTGGACGTTGTTTTTATAATTATTTTTATGATACCTTTTTTTTTCCTTTGACTCCCATCATTTATTGATTACAATCATTGACAAGCTATTATATTAGGTCAATGAATACAATAACATCAACAATATTATTAGCGGTGGGACGATCCCCCACTCAATTTTTATGATACCTATCATGCGATGTAAGTACCTTAAAGCAGGATATACGGTTTTATTATAGGTAGTTTTTCTATGTTGTAAATGAGAGATATTTCCCAGAATTTCGTTGTATCGATTCGTTTAGATCCATCGTTGACGTGTTCTACCAAAGCGTGTTGATTAGTATTATATTCATTTAAAATTAAATTAGAATACTACCTACAGTAAAGTTGTAAATCGCTTTTGTAAAAAGATTCTGTTTGGAAATTAATAGTTATATAATATTAAGYGGGTGTTCAATTTTTTCCTTTAAAATATTTTAGAAGTTCAAAGTGTACCTATTACTTAACTTTTTATGTTCATTAAATATTTAAAATATTGATAAGAAATATTTCAAAAATTAACATACTGATACTGGTACATAGTTTTTTTTTGTCACTGTTAATGTCTCAAAATCTCATGATTTCTGAATTGGTATTTCATTTGATTAGGTATAAAACGACTCTTATATTACCTTTTTAACTTCATAATATTTTGGAAATATATATACGAGTAAAATAGTATAATATAATATATTATAAGTTTCTAAATTAATATACATATTAATATATAATATATATCAACTTTATAGTAGGTACCTTATACGCTTAAAATATATCAAAACTCATTTTAAATTTGAGTAAAATATTTATTATAATAAGAGGTTTTTTAGGATTTTCCTGAAGTTATAATAATAGTTTAAAAAAAGTGATGACATTTTTTCTAATTAGACTAAAACTACTTTTAAAATTAAAATTTTCAATGTTAGGTAACTGTTAAGAATAAATCAAATACATAGAAAAATTGAATTGATAAAATATTTTAAATATCTAATTCATAATTGGATTAGCCCACTCTGTTAATAAGGTTTGCACACGCCTATGGCGTGGAGGCATTTAACCGCATACATTTTGGCTCYCGCCTCCCAGTAGTTAGGTCAGACGTTATTATATGTGGTTATATCATCGTCAGCCGGTAACGTTGCTGTTGCTTGTTTTAATTATAATTTAAGTGTTTGACATTTTCATAATAC